GCTAGGTCGGACGCACAAACATCCAGTAGTAGCAGAAGATAGCACGCCAAAGGAGCCACGAATTAATAGCCCCATATTAGTGGGATTTCGGCCTAGTCCTGGGGTGTGGGCATACAGGTGACGTCCCAACTCTCGAGTAGCAACCGGAGAACGCCAAGTAATTAGTATACCTGAATCATTTGTGCATTTACGCACTTAGAGTGCGATCAGCACCCTAAAATAAGGGTGGTTGCCGTGGTTCTGTTGCACATGACACCTAAATCTTTTAAAACAAAAAAAGGAGTGAGCGGAATACTCATGTAACAGTTGAAGACACCCGAAACACTCATTTTGGGTGTGTTCAACTGAATTTTACACGAAAGGAAAGAAGGAAGTCCCAACAATTTTACATAAGAATATCGCCTTCAGAAAGTCACAATAATTTCTGGATTTTCCGTGTCATTATCAAGCCATTTACCTACTACTCGCAGTGCGATTGACTTTGACCCGTATTCCTTTACGCATATGTAATAAACGGAAATCAGTTTGCAAGTAGATTGCTTGATGATGACACGATACTAGTCCCAAATGACCTGAAACCCTCATTCCAAAACACGAGAGTGCAAAACACTGTTTTGGGTGTTTGTGCAATAGAATCAAGTGAATAGAATTGATTGAGTGACGAAAAGCAAAATCACAAATCACGGAAAGCGATTTATGCGTTCGAGTGTGTTATTCTTTTCATGCTGTTTGTTAGTGCGACAAACGCATGAAATTTATAAGTGTGATTCGGGTGCCGAAAAATGACACCCTTGACGGTCTCTGGTAGCAACTCATAGTACCGACATAAACATTTTTTTGTGCAGTGATGTGAAGCTACCTCAGCGTAGAAGCAAAAGGAAAAAATCACGAACGGACGGGCGGCCGAAGAGCGCGAAGAAAGCGACGCGAGACCGAGCGTATCGGGAAAGGAGCCGCTGGCGGGAAAGATTTCGAATCCTAGTTTTTAATTAAAATTTTCTAGCTTCAATTATTTTTATATAAAATATTTTAAATATAAAATTTCACTTAATATATTTAATTTTATTTTTAAATAAAATCATTTAACTAATACTAAAAAAATTTATTTGTATTATTGGTATAACCGCGACTGCTGGCACCAATTTGGTCAATACTTTTTTAAAAAAAATTTATACATAGATAATATAGAATAAAAATATATAAACTTAATTATTTATTTGAAATAAAAATAGCTAATTATTATATTAATTATAAATAAAAATAATATATATATATATTTGAAATAAAAATAACTACGCATTATATAAATTATAAATAAAAACTAAATTTTTTCTAAAAAATTATTCAAAGTTACAATTTTAAAAATTTGACTAACTTACATTTATTCAAATTTTAAGAAAAAAAAGTAATTAAAATTTTTTCTTAATATTCGGTTGTCAAAAAAGTCTTGCGGTATTTTCGCAGCTCGCTTTTTCGTCTCATCAGGTCATATTATACCTTTTTGTTTGATTGATTGTCCTTTCTTTTAAGTCGTTCGTGAGTTATATGTCGCTATCATTGAGCAAAATAAAGAGAAAATACGGCATATTTTACAGTAGTACTACGATAAAGGCAAAAATGCATTTCAAGCCGCCAATAAAATTTGTGCAGTTTATGGACCCGATACAGTTTCCATTTCCACCGCACAACGATGGTATCTACGTTTTCGTTCTGGTGTAGAGGTGGTCGAAGATGCGCCACGCTCCGGAAGGCCTGTCGTCGAAAATTGCGATAAAATCGCAGAATTGGTCGAAAGAGACCGGCATAGTAGTAGCCGTAGCATCGGTCAAGAGCTGGGCATGAGTCATCAAACCGTTATAAACCATTTGAAGAAGCTTGGAGTCACTAAGAAGCTCGATGTATGGGTGCCACACGAATTGACGCAACAAAACATCTTTGACCGTATCGACGCATGCGAATCGCTTCTAAATCGCAACCAAATCGACCCGTTTTTGAAGAGTATGGTGACTGGCGATGAAAAGTGGGTCACTTACGATAACGTAAGGCGCAAACGGTCGTGGTCGAAAAGCGGTGAAGCAGCCCAGACGGTGGCCAAGCCTCGATTGACGGCCAGGAAGGTTCTTCTAAGTGTTTGGTGGGATTGGCAGGGAATAATCCACTATGAGCTGCTCCCCTATGGCCAAACGCTCAATTCGGACCTGTACTGCCAACAACTGGACCGTTTGAAGACAGCACTCATGCAGAAGAGGCCATCTTTGATCAACAGAGGCCGCATTGTCTTCCACCAGGACAACGCCAGGCCACACACATCTTTAGTGACGCGCCAGAAGCTCCGGGAGCTCGGATGGGAGGTTCTTTTGCATCCACCATATAGTCCGGATCTCGCACCAAGTGATTACCACTTGTTTCTGTCCATGGCGAACGCTCTTGGTAGTTTCTTGAGGTCCCTACGCAGCGAAAGTTTATTACACCATCCTGCCACGCCCACTCTAACCCCCACGCGAAAAACTAAAATCGCTAAAAATTGTCAATCTATTCATATGTATATAAATTGATGCAACCATGTATATTCGCTATAGAATCCTAAACGGGTGGACCGATTTTTTAAACAGTTAAATTTGAAATTTTGTTTTGAATCGCACAAAACTAAATTCGCTGAAATCTCGGGAACTTTTATAGCTTGAAAGTTGAAATTCAATATGTATAAACTTTGGATGCCAGCGCATCTTTTAGTGGTACTATTATCTGTCCACACCCACTTATACGCCCGACAAGCTCAAAAGACGGTTTTCGCATGTTCAAGAAAACCTGATATCTCGGTAACTATAAGTAATAGAAACTTCGGACTAAGCATATGGATTTTTATGATGCCCCAAACGTGAATTGTTTTTTTTCCATCTAGCCACGCCCATCCTAACGCCCACAAAACCCGAAAAACCAAAAAGTCACAAATCTCGAGAACTAAAGGAGCTAGAAAGTTAGGCTTAAGAATACGTATTTTAGGGTTGCCACTGCAACTTCGCACGAGTTTTTATCCGGCCACGCTCACTCTACCTCCCACAAACCTCGGAACACTGTGGCGTCTATAATAATATTATGAATGCCTTCGTTGTACCTTGTATAACTTATTTCTGTTAATATCTATCGGTTTACCAAAGATTTTTCAAATCGGAACTTTATTTCGCTACTTATGAAGAAATACAGGTTATAAGGCCTCACATGGGCAGTGACGTCACTATCAGTTATTCGACATGCTTTCTCCGACAATAGGTAGCGCTTGGGTAATTTCCACTAGCAAAATCTTATAGTCGCAGCACTCGACTATAGCGTTTCCTCTTGTTATACCCGTTACTCGTAGAGTAAAAGGGTATACTAGATTCGTTGAAAAGTATGTAACAGATAGAAAAACTTTCATTGCATAAGTTTTACAAAATCAAGGTAGTTCCAGATGCGTTGAAAATTCGAATTAAATTTTTTGATAATAACTTTAAGCTATGTTAGGCCAAGCAGCCTGTTTTGATAATTGTAAGCAGTTCACGGAAACTGTTTGCTTTCGTTGCCATAATTAAATTACACAGAGTAGAGTTGTTACCCACTTTACGCTTTTGGATGGTACCAGTGTTGCTGGTATTTCACCCACTCCATAAACGCCTGCTCCCCCATTGCCCCCGTTTTCGATGCCAACATTCAGCGGTGGCTATGCCGTGTGGCAGGTGACCTTTTTAATTTCTGCTCCCTGTTCAAGACGACGATTGCCAGCCATCCTCACTTGACCAAGATATAGATGCTCAGGTGGCTAATTTTATGTCTGCAGGAGCCTTGGAGACTGTGAGACTTTTGTAGATTACTGACGCTAGCTATGATGTTGCTCTTGATCTTTTGCGCCACCGTTTTAGAAATCGACGGTTAATATCCAGGCTTATATCAACGAGATCCTAAAGCTAAGGGTACTCGAGTCGGGATGCGTTGCAACTCTTCGGGAGTTATCCGACCGATGTTCATTTTCCGTCCCTCATAAGTTCCGGGACGGAAGACGAAATTCAAGGGTGCCTCCTCATCCAGATCATCTTTCAAAAGCTGGACCCATAAAGGCGAATTGGGTAGACTCTCTTGCAGGAAACAGTGCTGACAGCGGTAAATGGCCTTGGAGACACTGTATTCACTGCGGATGGAGCATCGGTTAATCGGGTATGCAAAAACATTTTCGAGGTTGAGCTGCTGGAGACGCGTCGTCTTTTGGATGATACGGTCAATACGGATCGTACCCGTGGCGACAACGGAGCCGGAACTCCATAGCACTCGCGAGCGTCACGGCCAAGAGGTGGCTCAGCTCGAGAAGGAGCTTATTCGACTGCGCGAAGAGTTGATGGGAATACCAGGACATCAAGGTCTCACTGGATTTGGAAATCGATGCCTACGACAAGCTGCTGGTCGGCCAGTAGGCGCGGCTGAACATTACCCCAGCCGGTATCGTGGAGATCGATTCCGAGGGCAAGTTTGTGAAGCTGTATAATAATAGCAATGATAATGTGGCCATTGAATGCTGGCAGCTGCAGCGTTTGATCAACGAGGGTGATTCTTCGACCACCTACAAGTTCTCTGTAAAAACTGAACCGTGTTGCTGTACTAAAGACATCTATTGGAACTACAAGGCGTGCGTTGTCAAGGTTGTGTCTGCTGCCCCCAAAGACTCTGTTGAAGATGTTGGGCCAAGCAGCCAATGGCAAAAACGGATGACTAGTGGCGGGCTCATCACCAGATTCTATTTTGTTCTGGTTGATTCAAAATACTAACACTACAAAATAACGGTAAACGGTAACGGTTTTGAATTGAACTGCCCTCCAGCAATTAGTTGTTAAAAAGCATTATTTATAGAAATGCTATATATCTATATTTTTTTGCTTTCTCCTTTGTTATTTGTTTAGGTTAGACGTCTATATCCTCAAGCCGTTTATTTCTATATTTTTTTGCTTTCTCCTTTGTTATTTGTTTAGATTGGACGTCTATATCCTCAAGCCGTTTATTTCCCGATCCGGACTTTATATCTGTCTTTAAAAATCGAGCAACGGGAAAAACACAAAACTGCCGAGCAAGCTGTGTATGCTGGGAAAATGTCATTCTCGGTAAGTATATTCATTGTAGTATTATATCTTTAATATAAATTTGAAAATTGTGGTTACCCGAATACCAGTTACGCCCATCTAAATTTATGGAGGTGCCTCTAGCACTTTGAGCGTCGCCGAAAATAGTAATGGCACCTTGTAGCTTGTATTGTGACCTGCTAATGGGTTTTATTCTGTTGGGGAAAATACAACTTAAATTTTATAGCGCAGTATCTCTTACCTCCTTCCCTGGAATCGCCAAACCGTTTTCCCAATATCTAAACATATCGTAAATAACAAATATAATACTGAACGAAAGTGCAATCCAGAGGAGCAAATTCAAACTGACTGACTTTCGATATTTAGCTGACTACCTTTTTTGTTCCGAAACATCCCCATCCCAGTAAAGTAGTCGAATTCACCACATCTAGTGCAATTCTTGGTCTATCGTCAGGTCGGACCGACGATCGTGAACCCCGCCGTACTTTAGTGAACACCTTCTCCACGATAACTCGTTCCCACTCTCGACTTGGAATGGCCTGATCACAGATTAATACTAATATTGCTTGGCGCAGAGGCTCGATATGTTCGCACTTTTTCTCCCTGTGCCCATCGCTTCTAGAAGCGGTCATTCGTCATACTGGTCAGACGCCACTGCTTCCTTGTCCTCTCGGACAGCTTTCTATTTGCGCCGGGTATATCCGGCAGATTGGGAGCCTCCTGATCCACTGTAACTGGCAGTTGCGCTAGTCGGCGAGAATTGTCTATATTCTCCGCCTCGATCAACAGGTTCTCCTGAAATGTTCCTTGATAGGCAGCTCCCTCATCGTATGGGTCAGCACCTTCTTAACACACTGGACCATCCCTTCCCAGGGGCTTGTTTGGGTTCTCGACCCTGAAGTTCGGCTGGTACCACAACTTTTCACTTTTACCATAAATGTCTTCCTGCTGTTCTAGTCGTCGTGGGTATCCTTTCTTGACGTAGTCATTCATAATTCCATTGAAAGCCCACGCGCCTCATTTTCCTTGATGACGAGTCGCTGTAACTCCATGATGTAACAATCTGGCAGCCTCGAAAACATTCTGTGGCTTTCCTTTCTGGGCTTTCCTTTATGCCCTTGACATTTCTGAGTCTGTCGATCGCCAAATAAAACCCACCAATAAACAGTTCCTTTTTTAGACCCGTTACTCTCAGAGTAAAAGCGTATATTAGATTCGTTGATGTAAGAGTATCAATAGTGAAGTCGATTTGTCCATCAGCAAAATGAATATTTAAAAATGCTGTAAAACAGTAACGTGTATCTTATAGTCGCGGCACTCGACTATAGCGTTTCTTCTTGTTTTTATTAATCTTTTGTCAGCGAATGGAAAGTATTATATAGTGAGTGAAAAAAAATTAGGAATGTAAAGCGATTTGAAATTCTTTTTTGGAGATTCAAATATGAATGTGTCTTAAAGCAAGAATAGAAAAGGGTTCAAAAATAGGCGAAAAAAAGAGAAGAAACCTCAAAAAAAGTGTCAGTTTTTCCCAGACAGCAATCTACCGTTGCCGAAGCAATTTATTCTTTTATGACTAATTAAATGTAATTAGTGGGTGTTGAGTTCATAGTTTAAAAAATTATTAACCCCATTGAAATAAAAAGAAAAAACCCCAATGTTACCCTATGTGAATGTTCCTATGTTTCGGCCATGTTAATTTAAAACAAGAGGAAACGCTATAGTCGAGTGCCGCGACTATAAGATACCCGTTACTGTTTTACACAATTTTAAAATATTCATTTTGCTAGCTGAAATTACCCAAGCGCCACCTATTGTCGGAGAAAGCATGTCGAGTAACTGATAGTGACGTCACTGCCCATGTGAGGCCTTATAACCTAAATTTCTTCATAAGTAGCGAAATAATGTTCCGATTTGAAATATCTTTGGTAAATCGATAGATATTAATAGAAATAAATTACACAAGGTCAAACGAAGGCATTCATAATATTAGTATAGACGCCACAGTGTTTCGCGGTTTGTAGGCGTTAGAGTGGGCGTGGCCGGATAAAAACTCGTGGAAAGTTGCAGTCGCATCCCTAAAATACGTATTCTTAAGACTAACTTTCTAGCTCCTTTAGTTCTCGAGATTTGTGACTTTTTGGTTTTTCGGGTTTTGTGGGCGTTAGGATGGGCGTGGCTAGATGGAAAAAAACAATTCACGTTTGGGGCATCATAAAAATCCACATGCTTAATCCGAAGTTTCTATTACTTATAGTTACCGAGATATCAGGTTTTCTTGAAAATGCGAAAACCGTCTTTTGAGCTTGTCGGGCGTATAAGTGGATACTGAATTTCAACTTTCTTGCTCTAATAGTTCCCGAGATTTTAGCGATTTTAGTTTTTCGCGATTTGTGGGCGTTAGAGTGGGCGTGACAGGATGCTGTAATAAACGTGCGCTGTCCCGGGACCTCAAGAATCTTCATGCTTAATCTCATCTTTGTATCTGCTATACGGACGGACGGACGGACGGATGGACGGACAGACGGACATGGCTCAATTTTTACTTTTATAGGGTCGGAAACGCTTCCTTCTATCTGTTACATACTTTTCAACGAATCTAGTATACCCTTTTACTCTACGATTAACGGGTATAAAAAGGTTTAATGAATTCAGTCACAGAAAAAAAAATTTTGAGCCACACTCGTTCGCAATCAAAGGCAAAAGAACCAAAAGAATAACATTTCTTTCATTCTTTCATTTGTGCGAACGCGCAAGATGATACATACTGAATTTTAACTTCCTAGCTCTAATACTTCCTAAGATTCAGCTATTTTAGCTTTTCGCGATTTGAGGGCCATGGGCTTTTCAAGAATCTCCATGGTTAATCCCAACTTTCTATCTCTCAGCGTTCATACGGACAGACGGACATACCGATTGGAAAAAGATGAACTGAACGATATGACCAAAGAGTTGGATCATCTGCGCAAGCAATTCGACGACACGCGGAATGCTCTAGAGCAGGAGACACTGTCGCGCTTTGATTTGGAAAATACCATTCAGAGCTGTCAGTCAAGGATCAGATCCACTCACAGGAGATCAATGAGTCGCGCCGCATCCGCCAGACAGAGAACAGCGAAATCGACGAACGCCTCAGCCTCGACTATGATGGCAAGTTGACACAGTCGCTACAGGAGCTGCTTTCCAAGTATGAGGAGCAGATGCGAATTATCGAGTCGCTATACGAGGATAAAGTCCGTCGTCTGCAAGGGGCTGCTGCACGCACATCCAACTCTCCGCACAAGTCCATTGAAGAGTTGCGCTCGATTCGTGTTCGTATTGACGGTCTAAATGCCGAGACTCACGAATTTTAACTCGTGCTACGACAAGCTGCAGGTCGGCGAGGAGGCGCGCCTGATCATTACCCCAGCCGACAGCACGGCCATGGTACAGTCCTTCAGCCAATCACTGCGTACCTCAACCAATGCCACGCTCTCAAGAGGCATGATCCGCAAGCGTGCTGTGGTTGATGAATCTGAATATCGCAATATAGCTATATAGTTTTATAAAAACTATGTCTAGTATGCCATCCCTAGGTATTGGAAAATTTTGATCGACTAAATAGAAGTTGTGCGGAATTATATATTTAGCTGTAGTGAGTTCTAAAAAATTAAGAAATTGTACTTTCACCAATTTCCGATCTTTGGGTAAAAACTCTTTCATTTACGTTTTAAAATATATCTACATTTTCTTTAATGGCATTCTATTTATATTGTATAGGATTTACCTGTTCTTTCATTGTTAATTTATAAATATGCTGAGGTTGAGGTTGATTGTTTTTGTTGTGTGCGGAAAGGCTCTAAACAGCTGAAGGGTTCTGTTGGTTTTTCGAATACATTGGGGGTGCTCGGACATTACCTCTATTGGTTTTATTTTGATTTGCGGTACTGTTGTTGTAGTTTCGATTTGAAACGCCATGGCCCCTTGAGCTTCCTCAAAACTGGCCTCGTCCATTATTATAATTGGTACTGTTGTACTTGTTGTAATTATTATTACGACTACGAAAGTTACCCCTTTTACCACGCTTGGTTAATTCTTGTAATATAGGACTGTATTTGGGTGTCTAGTTGCTTCCGTGCAACTATTTTTAAATTTTTCATTGTGTTGAAGTTGCCAGCTTGCCTGACTGCATTCTGAGTGGAATAACTTCTAGCTAATTAGAGACCATCTGTTATTTATGCACTCTTTATAGCTTTTGTCATTTGCTCAATCTCGGATGTATATTGGTTGGCAATTTTATTGCGTTGCTGTGGGTTCACCAGTTTTGCTGACAATACTTCTACAGTTTCGCCTTTGACATTGGTTCTTAATTTGGAAATGACGTCGGTCACTGTTGATTCGTTTCCGATTAAATTTCTGGCTACGCCTTTTAGCTTTGTTTTTATTATAGAAACTGCTAATTGCTCGTGCTCGCCTTTTATTGTCTCTATGATTATCAAAGCATCTATAAAACTTATTAAGTATTCAGCTTTACCATCGAAAACTGGGATAAGCTTGGATGCAGTATTAATAAAATCAATATTTGATTGAGCCATTGTGATATTATTATTTAGTTTATGCTTGAATTTGTATCTGAGTCTGCAGTATTGTCTAGATCTGACAATAGAACTGCTGGGATAGTGAGATTGTTTAAATCTTCTTCTATTTTTGGGTTAGTTTTCGTAAACTCTTCTGACTCTACGGGGTCAATGTAAAATGGTTCTGTAACTATGGTTCCTCACCAGTTTCAACTGTTAAAGCAGTGTTAAGTATACTTGGGACTGATATATCTAAATTGAATTTTTCTGTATATATGATATAAAATTTGCTCGTAGTTTTAAAAAAAATTTTGATACTTTAGACCAATGCTTTAGATTTAATTTTCTCTCTGGTAGTGTATTAGTATACGCGCCACATTAAAACAATTTACTATTAATTCTGTATGCTTTCTAATAGAATTAATTTGAATTGGCCAATTTTGTGTGAGTTATTTGTATGATTAATCAAATTCAATTTTTATTTTACTTAGTTCTTTAAATTAGTTTGTCAAAAAACTATTACGGCATTTCTTGTTTTATTGGTCGCATCAGGTCATACTATACCTTTTTGGAAAGCTCATTTCACGAGCTAATTTTGATTGATTGTCTTTTCTTTTAAGTCGTTCGTGAGTTACAGCGTCGCAATAAAGAGAAAATATGGCATATGCATCTCAAGCAGACAATAAAATTTGTGCAGTTAATGGACCCGATACAGTTTCCATTTCCACCGCACAACGATAATATAAACGTTTTCGAAGATGCGCCACGCTCCGGAAGGCCTGTCGTGAAAATTGCTATAAAATCGCTGAATTGGTCGAAAGAGACCGGCATAGTAGCCGTAGCCGTAGCACCGGTCAAGAGCTGGGCATGAGTCATCAAACCGTTATAAGCCATTTGAAGAAGCTTGGAGTCACTAAGAAGCTCGTTGTATGGGTGCCACACGAATTAACGCAACAAAACATCTTTGACCGTATCGACGCATGCGAATCGCTTCTAAATCGCAACCAAATCGACCCGTTTTTGAAGAGTATGGTGACTGGCGATGAAAAGTGGGTCACTTACGATAACGTAAGGCGCAAACGGTCGTGGTCGAAAAGCGGTGAAGCAGCCCAGACGGTGGCCAAGCCTCGATTGACGGCCAGGAAGGTTCTTCTAAGTGTTTGGTGGGATTGGCAGGGAATAATCCACTATGAGCTGCTCCCCTATGGCCAAACGCTCAATTCGGACCTGTACTGTCAACAATTGGACCGCTTGAAGACAGCAATCATGCAGAAGAGGCCTTCTTTGATCAACAGAGGCCGAATTGTCTTCCACCAGAACAACGCCAGACCACACACATCTTTAGTGACGCGCCAGAAGCTCCGCGAGCTCGGATGGGAGGTTCTTTTGCATCCACCGTATAGTCCGGATCTCGCACCAAGTGATTAACACCTGTTTCTGTCCATGGCGAACGCGCTTGGTAGTCTGAAGTTGGAAAAAAGAGAGTCCTGTGAAAATTGGCTCTCCGAGCCAATTAAAAAAAATTATTTATTTAAAACAACAAACATTGTTTTTCCCTTAAAAAAATTAATATAAAATTTCAGGTTATTTTCATAAAATAAACAATAATGAAAAAAATTTTTTTTTTATTATAAAATTAATAAAAATAATTAAAAGTAATTTTGAATCATTTTCAATAATTTAATAATTATAATTAATTATTTGTATAATTATAAATAAACAAATACATTTATTTATAAATAATTTTTATTAATCACTAAATCCATACTTCCCATTTAAACATATATTATATATTATTATTATTATAAATTATTGAAACTATCATAGCGTTGTAATCTCTAGCGTATAATTTGTATCGATAGTAATCTCTGCAGTTATTAGAAGTATCAAATAAAGTTCATTCCTTTTGTATCTACTCAACCAAACCGGACGTCTTTTTCTCTGAAACGGGAATAACTCAACAACAGGTTATGAGCCCAGGACACAGATACATAGATATACATGTATAGGCCACGCGTTGTGAAATAGAAGCGGCGCTTGCATTACGAGTGCAAGCTGTGAGTTGGAAGTGGAATCGAATCGCTACAAAGAAAGCTTCAGCATGAGTGCGCTTTACCAAATGGACAAATTGGAGGAAAAGAATTATGATTCTCGGCATATACAGATGCGCAGCGAACTGGTACACACGGAGCTATGGGACGTGGCGTCAGGCGAGTTAAAACTGGAAGATGCCGGTGAAAACTCAAATTGGCCAAGCCGTGACAGTAAGGCTCTGGCCATGATAACCCTCAGCTTTAGAACTTCGCAGCTGAGCTACATAAAAATGTGTTCGACATCGTTTGAGGCCTGGACAAAACTGAGGGAGGTGCATCAACCATGTGGGCCAGTAAGAAAGGTATCGCTCTACAAAACATTGCTGAGTCTAAAGATGGAGAATGGCCAAAATGTTTCCAGTCACCTGAATGCGTTCAGCGAGGATCATTTTGGATTTTGGATCAGCTATCATCGGTGGGAATTGAGATAAGTAAGGAGCCATCGAGACAAGCGACACATTGCCAGAATTCAAGGTACTGCGAATGAAGATCAAGGAAGAGGGAGATTGACGATCTCAGTCTGCATCGACCGACATGCATGCAAAGCCTCTTGTTGCAAACACTACAAAGCCAGTTACCAAAAAGAGTAGGAAGAATGTCATTTGCTATAACTGTGGCAAGCGAGGGCATGTCAAGGCCGAATGTCGATCGGATGGATCCGAGAAGATGAAGCAGGCTCCAACCGTTCAAAAACAGTGCAGCTTATTGGGAGCTCTGGATGCGGATAGCTTTGGCCGCACAAAGTAGTGCTTGGATAGCGGAGCTACAACCCATATGTGCTGCAACGAGAGTTTGTTTACAACCCTGGAGAAGCACACCGAGACGATTGGATTAGCTGGAGACGGATTTCTGAAGGCGGAGGGAAAAGGAGTGGTCAAGATAAAGGCGGATCGATACACCCTTGTATTAAACGATGTACTATTTGTTCCTATGATGAAGCGAAACTTCATGTCCGTAAGTCAAACCGTTTCTAAAGGCAATTTGGTGCATTTTAACGAAAGGCATGCAAAGATCATCCAAAACGGTGAGTGTATATTTCAAATAAAGAAAACTGGAAATCTATTTACATTCGAGGGAAAGTCCAATCAGTTCTATGCGGCTGCCAGTGCCGATGGTAATTTATGGCACATGCGATATGGTCACATTAATTATCGCAGTCTGGCTGATATCGTGAAGAAGGGCATGGTTCGTGGAATGGAAAGTTGTAGTTTACCTCAAAATACACCCTGTAAGAAATGCATGTTGAGCAAAATACATGTTCAGCCATTTCCATATAAAACTGAAAGCCGAGCCAATGAAATATTAGAACTTATTCATGCAGACGTATGCGGGCCTTTTAGCACAAGATCCCTGGGTGGAAATCGATATTTTCTGACGTTTATCGATGACAAGTCACGTCGCATATTTGTTTACTTTCTGAAAGGCAAAGACGAGGTATTCTCTAAGTTCGTAGAGTTTAAGGAACTCGTGGAGAGGCAAACTGGAAAGCTTCTGAAGTGCATACGAAGTGACAACGGAAAGGAATTGGTTAATGCAACCTTTGACAAGTTTCTCAAAGCGAATGGGATCAGGCGGCAACTG